GGGTGACATGAATGTCAAACTCAGAGTGGACAACACAGGAAGAGAACCAATCATGGGTCGAGAGGCACTCGGTGAAATGAAGGAGAACGGAGAACTGTTTGCAGACTTCTGCACATACAACGGCTTGGAGATTGGAGGTACTGTGCACAAACACAAGGATATTCACAAAGCGACATGAATTTCACCAGACACCAGATACACTAAAAATCAGATCGACTTCATCTGAATGTGAAGAAAGTGGAGACGTAGCCTACTGGACACGAGATCAGATCAAGAAGGGGAGCAGATGTAGGTTCGCACCACTCACTGTCGTCTAGTGCAAGGAACCTACCTCCAAAATCAAATTGAAAGCTGTCAAAGGATTTGGTGATAGGCCAAAGTTCAAGTTCAACACCCGGAATAGAAACTGAAGGACGAAATTACAAAATACATCTTCACCTCAGCCATCAGGGTAAAATGGGAGACATTAAGCAACATCCCTGAAGAAACCTGCGTGGAAGAACACTGGAACTCTTTGAAAGCTATGTGGAAAGAAACCTGCATAACCATGTTAGGAAGGAAGAGGAAACATGACGAGGAATGGATCTCGACGGATAGATGGAAGGTGATATAGCAGGGAGGGCGAATGGTGAAGCAGAAGATGAACTAGTGTAGCGCGGTGTAGGGATGAACAACGAAAAGAGGAACTGAACACAACCTATAAAACACTGCACTGGACAAACAAGTGAAGAAGAGTGTGCGGAGAAACAAAAGACATTGCTACGACACATTGGCAAGTGAAGCAGAACAAGCTGCAGGCAGGAGAGACCTGACAACATTATATCAAATAACCATGTTACTTACTGTCTGGGAAGAGATCAACTCAGACGAAGCGAGTGAGAGATAGTGAAGGAAATCTAGTTACCAAGGAGGAGAATCAAAGAAAAAGAAAACGATGGGCTGACCACTTCACAAAACTCTTGAACCAACCACCACCACCTGAAACTCGTCCGGAACTACCGCCAGCAGCCCAGCCACAGAATTACTTGCCAGTGAACACAAGCCCTCCGACAAAAGCAGAAGTCTTGGTAACTACAAAGTTGCTGAAAGCCAAGAAAGCAGCAGGACCAGATGGAATTCGTCCAGAAGCACTGAGGACAGACGCAGGGACAACAGTGGACACACTGACACCACAATTGTAGAAGGTTAAGAAGAAGGGGAGGAAGGGTCCCTGTCGATTGAAAGAAGGGTTACTTTGTCAAAATCCCAAAGAAGGGAGGGAGACCTACGTCTTTGCAAGAACTGGCAAGGAATCATCCTACACCCCTGTCCCCCCCCCCAAGCAAAATATTAGGCCACATCATGCTGGAGAGACTAAAGGATGCTCTGGATTCAGAACCGTGACAGGAACAGACTGGCTGACTGACTGGCTTCGAGAAGAACAAATGATGTGCGGATCAAATTGCAACGCTACGCTATACATCATCATAGAACAGAGCATATCATAAAATGGCAGTCAACTCTCCACCTCAACTTCATCCACTCTGAATAGGCTTTCGATAGCGTCGACAGAGAAGTAATTTGCCAGGCAGTTGCTTCAACACTACGGGTTTAGTGCAACAAACCTTTACCAACCTCATTCGACAGCAGCTATATGCTGTTTGACGCTATATGCCAAGTGATTCACAATGGAAAGCTCTGCGACACCTTTGAAGTGAGGACAGGAGTGAGACAAGACAAGGTTGCCGCCTACTATCACCGATCATCTTCCCAATTATGGTCAACTGGACTGGACTGGATCATGCAAGAAACAATGAGGAGCGAGAAGATAGGGATAGGCTGGCTGCACCGATGAAAACAGCCAAGAAGATTTGGATTCAGCTGATGATGATTTTTGTCTGATGTCTAGTCGCACAAACTCGAAGATCTACAGGCGAAGATTAACAAGTTGACAGAAGAGGCAGGGCAGCGAAAACGGGACTTCAAGTGAACGTAGAGAAGACGGAGGTGATGAAGATACCTAATGATAACAACAACAACAACATCAAGCACCAATCACCATTAGTGGCAGAAACCTAACGGAAGTTGTCTCGTTCACCCACCACCTAGGCAGCATCGTTTCAACTACAGGTGGCACATGCATACACGAAGATGTCATAGCCAGGATCGGAAATACAGCAAGACAGGCCTTCATGAACCTGAAATCAGTGTGGAGATCTACTGCACTGTAGGCAACATGAAGAAGAAGGAGAAGAAGATCCGGATTTCCAACACCAATTCAGTCAAGTCAGTGCATCTATGTGATGTTTGAGAGAGTTGGCGCGTTACGAAAAGCATTTCCAACAAACTACAGACATTCATCAACAGCTGCCACCTACGCTCGCTCGATACTGAAGATCAGATGACTAGAAAGAATAAGCGCTAAGGAACTCTGGCTTGGAAATGAACCAACCAAGAACCTATCGTCCAACAAATATGCAGAAGAGAGTGGAGATGGATTGGATTGGATTGGGCATACACTGAGAATGGCGATTGGGACATCACATGCCAGGCTAGGCCGTCGAGTGGAATCCAAAGGGGAAACGACGAGTTGGTCATCCGGGCTAAGTGTGACATGGAGGAGATCATGTGAGGTGGAAATGAAAGCTTGTGGGTGGTTGTGTAGCTGGATTGAAAAGACTGCAGATAAGAGAGTGAAATGGTGACGTGCAACTGAATCCCTATTTTCTACTAGGTACCCTGAGGGTAATTAATGAATATAATATGCAAGAATGAAACTATTGAAGCCCTGACAATTGTGTTTCATTTTGCAATATGTTGTCTGAAATACAACACATAAAGGCGCACATTAATGCATCGTATGTATCAATGCCCAGTGAATGACTAGTAATCATATTGAAGTCATATTCCAGATGCGGTGGTAAGATGTGGCGAAATACACTTTTTTCGACGTCTTATGTTATCTTAGATAGGGTGAATATTTGATTATTTCCCTGAAGAATCTAGGACCCGACTTTGAAACGTTGAAATTTCTCATTTCACATATGCTGAGATTTTTCCAAATATAAATTATATCTAGTGGCAACTTTCCACTCAGCGCCCAATATTTGTGAAACTATCTGGTCAAGTATTGACCAGGATTCATATAAAATGTAGCCAATTTAGTTTGACACCCTTGAGGATAAATTTATGTTAATTTGATCACCGGAATGGACAGTACGCTTTAAAATAGTAATGACGTTAACTGTTTTTCACTTCATCCAACCGTATAATTGCTCCCAAACAAGGAATAAATGCTGAATTTCTGCATGACTGCATATGCTAAGTCTCTTTTAAAAATGCCTACTACTCTAATGAAATATAATAGTATACCTTAATAAGGGGAATGTTAACAAGTTGAGTAAACTTCCTGACTGTTTGTGCAAGACTGTGGTCTATCTGAAATCGGGATACTTTTGAATTTCTGTATTGCAACGATCTTGGTTCTGTCATGCTCTGTGAGCTGTCTGACTTGACCGTGAAACCTTCACTGCCTTTCTAGACAAAACCATCATTACTACCTGCAATAAGAAGTCAGCTATCAGGATTTCTCTCTCTGTGATCTACTAGCGTGCTCAGAGGTGGTTTGTCACACCAACTCACATTCAAGTTAGTGCTGGTGATATTGTCCAGAAAGGCAGTGCAGCTTCTCAATTAAACTTTTCGCCTCAGGAAATGCGACATAACGAAGACCATCCTCCAGGGCTACAAATATTCGCCATCACACTGGAAAGAAGTTCACGAATGAGTCGTCAAATTTTATACGCAAATGTTTCACTGCACATCAGATGACTTCACTCCCTCCAGTGAGTGAGTATAAAATACACATGTTGTGGTTCTTGTTGACATCTAAGTTGCTATTTAGTTTAGTTCACTTTTTGTTCAGACTATTTCAACCAAAAAAGCTATTCAAAAACTTAATTTGCAACGCCACATCCAATTATTCAAAAAGTATCACATAGTGACGGAGATTAAACTGATAACCAAGCAAGCAAAGATACCTTTATAGGAAGAAATTCATGTCTATTAAGTAATATGTGTTTGTACACATCCCAGACATTCGTCTGTTTGGAAGGGATTATTTTATTAACTCATTTTGCAACTAAGTATGCTGCAAACTCTGTTGCTTCATTGCTTTTCGCAGTAACCATTATTATTGGAAGGATGAAAACTGGTTGTTTCCTTTGTCAAATTTGTAAATCCAAACGGAAACAGAATGTCAAAGAAGGGAGGTTACACTAATATTTTTGAAAGACTGGTTTCTGTAAGTAACTAGTCTTAATCTTCCTAGCACATTGTTGGCGAAATATTTACTTACTGAGGGTTGTGATAATTAACAAAGATACTAAATGATGTATGTTGACAAAACTCTATAACTTTTCTATTTGGGACTTTTTCAAAGAATCGATAAAGCTATGGTGGCTTTCGATTTCCCCTCAGCTATCCCTTTACTAATTCCCAGATTTATGCATGATTTCAGCACTGAATTATTTGTGAACAATAAATTTCATTTACCGTCAAATTGGCTCCATATTAATGAATATCAGTAATTATCATTGGTGTATTAAATGAAGCAAAACTATTGAATATTTGTTTCCGATAGAATAACCTATAACTTGGACAGTAACTAAAAGATTACTCACATAGTATAAAGTGAGCTAGATGAAAGAAACTGGAACTTTTCAGTCTGTAAGAAAGTTAACAAAATGTAATTTGTTTCTGTTTTGAAAAAATAAAACATGATATATAAGAAATACAAAGGAAAAGAGTTCGATTTCAAGTTCAGCACGTAGAGATTCTTTTGACTCAATTTTAAATATTTTGCGATCAAAGAAATAAAAATTAACCAAAACTAAGGAAATATAAACCCTTTAATCAAAAATAAATAAATGGATAATGTACAAATTAACTGTAAGCACACTTAGTCATCTGTTGACGAGTGTAACAATATGTAACCGCATTCGTTGAACACTGACATTTAGTTAGTTACAGCTATCCGAAGAAATTCGATAACATTCCACTGAACGTTTACAATCTCTGTTGCTACTTTCTGTTTCACACCTTTCCATTTCCCTTTTGTCTTCAACTATATTTATGAGTTTCAACTTCTTGCAGACATTCATTAACGTTCCTTTTAACTCATTTGTGTTTGATAACTCTGAAGAACAAATACCTGATGATTCTTTTGTGTTTTGGGCATAATCAAATGAGTAACTTTTATGAATTGAAGGATGTCCAGCACCTCTATCACACTCAAAATCAACACAAGAGTTCGTTATATTTTCTGCCACAATTTGATTATCATACATTGTGTCTAGTCTTGTTTCTAAATCAAGTATTGCACTATGCAATTTAGCTACAACCTGTAAACCTGGTGCAGATGGATTTATAAGCACATCGTTTCCTTCAAACGTTTTACACTCATTATTGTTACAAGCATGAGGCACAGAATAGTAAGCTCCATTGATAGCATCTTCCATATCTGTGTCAAGTGCAGCACTGACTATTTCAGTTACATGATAAATTTGTTCCAGTAGCTGCTGATGACTGGAAAAGAGAAAAAATGGTGTTAATCAGTTTAATCATGAGTATCAATGCATTCAAACAAGCTAGTGAAGCGAATATGTAGTTTAAATTACATTCATACGATTTCTTCTTTCACATCTGTTTTAAAATGAGGATCTAATGGATGGAGAAGATTAAAACACGATATATGCCGTTATGACTATTAGATGATAAGATGAGAACTATAAAAAGTAATTTGAAAAGTGAGCACTTTGCAGTTAATAGTTAAAAACGGATTGCTTTTTCCTGTAGATTACGTTTATATATTTTGATTCGGCGACTATACAACACTTCAGGTTTATCATGATCGATAAAACAAACCTTCAACAAGTGAATTTCTTAATTTTTGTCTGATTTTGCATTGATGGACTGTGTTACCAGCAGATTGAAATTCCATGTACGTACTAGCTTTTATGAAGCATGGAATATGGCAAATAGTAAAACAGCATAAATGCATTAGATTGAAGGACTGCAAAAAGCATTACATAATTTTCAGGATCTAAATTACTTGAGGACTGATTTTTTTAATGAATCCTTGCTTACTCGGAAAACCCGAAGGTCAAGGATGAACGTTGCTGTTTTTGTGGCAACAGTCAACGAAAAGTAAGAAAATTGCTTTTGTGTATGATCTATCAGAACTCAAAAGTACTGTTTTGTACTACTTAGCTTCCATATTTCTTTTACATGCATCCCAACTTTTTATAGGTCGTTACATAAAAAATTATACTCATGTATCATATTCGATTTTTGTTGCGGCCTCTCGGACTGAATCGACTTTAAGCTGACTAATTAAAACGAAAGTTGTTGTTTTTTATGAACCCAGTGGATTCTTCATTAGCACACGGAAATGATCTGTTCTCATGAAATATTTGTAACTTTGTAATATGCGAATAAGAAGCGAAGAAATGACTGTTTTTCTGTCTTCCGAAAATTTTGATAAATACACTTCATGTGTACATTAATTGAAGCTGGCTATTCCTCGATACTTCAATGATGTATCTGGAAATCTTAGTTGGATAACTAAATACTTGACTATCACAAATTACGATGAATCCGCGTTGACATCTGAAATGCACTTGTATGTCTTAATCCTAATGTGATCATTAAGTTCATTCTAGAGGAAAATTAGCCACTTGCCACAATTTTAAGTATGTATCAAATGTTTTATTCACAGGTAACTTTTCTCGATGAATTTTCTTATCCAGATAATGATGATAATGAGCGTGATACAGAATTCATAAAATACAGGTATAACACCACATCAACCACATAAAATAAATACTTTGTTTCAACATATAAGTTTTTACTTTGTTATATCAGAAATACTGAACAGTTTTACATAGTTAAGGATAGTCTTGTTGATGAATGTGTAAATATTTAATGACTTTCAAAATTTTGATTTTTTTGTAGTTTTATAGTCTTCTAAGCAATCGATGTACACAGTTCTGATGAATTATCATTGAGAATTTGTGAAAAAAATTACCATACAAGTGACACTTATTTGTCACTGAACTTGAAATATTTCTTACTGGAGTGAAAAAAGTAACATGTTTGGATTAAAATTTTTGTTTTTGTTTGCCTCTTCAAAACGCGAACACAAAATATGAGTCTGTCTGTTTAGTGTGCTTCGTAAGAGCTGTATTTATGACTCACTGATGTCTTATAACGAATCTAACGGTGTATACTAACTTACCACAGGAATATAGCAGCAAAACAAAAAGCCATGAAATGAAATGATTGTCTGTTAATCGACTGTTCACTTTACAAACATTTTCGATGGATTGGAATCAGGACTTATGTTTCGACAATTACGTCATGTACCGTCCGGTGATTAATTCCCGAAAATTTGTCGGTTTTCAACACTGCAAAATCATGCGCAGGAAAGCATGAGTGTAGTTTACAAACAATTTAAGTCTTTAACACGGTAAGATTACTTGCAGCATTAACCATCTTACAACTGATTTCTTTATATTGATAAGTGATGCTTTGTTGTGGTAATTTTGTTCACAAAAACCATTCAAGCATTGAATTGAATTTTAACCTCCTTGCAGATACAGGTAAGATGGAATATAACTTTATTGTAGCTGTTTTGAAATGCACTGCTGATTGATTGCATCTGAATGAAAAGTAAAAGATCTTCAAGGTCGAATGTAAGACCTGTTGTCTTGAACGAAATAGTCATCAATCCCCAGTTTAATTAAAGTAAATCATACTATTAATAAAGGTGAATGGTCATAAATTATTCCAAAGTAAAGGCACTTGATTAATACCATAGTAAACCTCTGTGCTCTTTATTTCACTTAAAGTGACAAGAAATTGCAAATTAGTTCAAAAACACTGGTCACATGGTTAGCATTATTCAAATAGCTATTCTTTTTGAAATCCTGGCGATAAACAGCTGATTCATGAGAATTCGAAGGTAATCAGACTTCAAGCCTCAGTTTTGCATTAGTTGAAAATGAATCTTTCCTTTTAAATTAGTCAGTAAAAATTTTTTAACGTGTGAAACAACACCAGATAATATTATCTTCACCGTTTAACAATTAAAATTTTGTTTATATTAGTGTAACACAAAGAACTCACTAAAATTGATAAAACTGTTTATACTTATGTAATGCGCACAGCTGAAAAGTGTCTGAAATGGTGAAAAGGAAAGTGGAAATTCGGTTCACTTCGAACAACTTAGATTTGCTGATGTTAATTTTAGTAATCTTTAAATTCAAGTTTTTGAAAGTATTTCCAACAATGGTTGCGTCAGCTGTTGATAGGTTTGTTGGGTTGATATAAAATCCTTCCACAAAAATAAGCATCATCATGAAAATATTGAACCAGGTGTTATGGAAGACGTTTTCTTGCAAAATGAAACACTCAGAGACACCAGATTAAAAAAAATCATCACTCAATATAAATGACTTACCAACACCTGTGGAAGAGTATACAAGCAGTGTGCAAAACGATGAGAATGTACATAATTCAGTGGTCTTTTAAGAAAATTCATGCATTCTTAAGATAATAGGATAACTGAAATAAAGTGCGTGTTTTCAGCATTCAATACCTTAAGCATGTTGAAGTTGATAACAAAATCGGTAACCTGCGATACTATGAGAGTATTATCAGGTAAATGAATAAAAATTTTAATCAGTCTGTCAAAATCAGTTAGATACTGCTATGATGGAACCAGTATTCATATTCGAACTATCTTCTAAATTTGTTCAGGTGGTAAGAAAATTGGTAAACCTATTACAGTTTTACATCTAAAACCATTTAAACTGCTGTCAACTAGTGCTTAAGAGACAACTCCATGGAAGCTGTTGCTTAAATTCTGCAATAGCCCTTTTTGTTTTAGGTCTAAACTTATAGATACCCAAGAATAATTTCAGCATATATATAGTTATTTTTAAATGCAAAGCTCGAGTTTTATCACGCATATTCATCTTAAGGAAGCACTTGAACCCTTTATGTATTCCAAAATGCTTAGCAGTTGCAGAAATGAAGTTAAAAGAATTTCAGTTTGTAACAAGGTAAGCATTTTTTTCCCTATCTTCATTACTGAAAGAAGACAAAATTACGTTTCAGGTAACAAGAGGCTGCAAAAATCGGTAATAATCCTGGGAGTTTCATATAGAAAATAAGTGCAGTGAATATTTTAAAATCATTTTGTGTGTATAAAAGTACTATCACAGTCTTATCGTATCTTAGTGTACATTTTTCATAGAAAACAACTTCACAGTAAACCAATAACCAAAGTTCAAAAAGTGAAACTATCTGGTTACTTAGACTGAAGGCTAATCCCTTTTGTGCTCAAGAATGAAACTAAACTGACTGGCAATAAAGAATAATTATACATTTTTATGTTTACGATGGAGAATTTTAGATGCAGTCAAAATCACCTGAAACAAAAGCGCTTCTTTTAATCGATGATCGAATAAAGGTTATTAGTTCTAAGAACACAAAATATCGTACATACTGGCTTACCTTCATTCCTTAAGGCCACAGATATTCAATTATGAACATTCATTTTTGCTCATAAGTTACTTGGAAACGTTCTACAAGCATGACATTTCATCGTGCACATTATACATAGACAAGCGCAATAAATTCAGGATTCATCAGTCAAATAATAAAAAGCCTAAAAAACTACATTAAGTAAGTGATCCTTTACCTACATATTTTCTGTCAAATTATGAAACCCTTTTACCGATAATACCTTTTCATTATATAAACACATGATAAGAATATGATCTAAGTCATGTTTTCCATATCGCAGCTTGAGTGTCACAGCCAACCTATAATAATGTAATAATGAGAAACTTTCCTTATTAAGGCACAGTGGGCTACAGAAAAAACTCATCAGCTCAGCATATGCTATAGTAAAAGCGTCTAATAATGTGTACTATTCATGAAAGTATCCTCCAGATTATTTACTTTTTCAGTGAGGCGAACAGTTGGGTGCCAGTCCCTCCTATATTGTTGCTCTGAGTATTCAGAAACACAGACTTGGATATGAAAAATCTACTATTTCAAGCCATAGCAAGCTCTTAAGTACCTCGCAGAAAGTCTATAACTTGTTTCCAGACCAGTACTTCAGTTTATCACACAATTCGAAACTGTTCATCATTTTCAAATTGCGTGTTAAACTTTCCAGTAAACGCACATTCTTAACGCTGGTGATTAACGCCTAGAAATTATTTTGCTGGAAAGCTTATTGTGACAGTATAAAATGTAACCCCTGTCGAAAGCAGACTAACTTTTTATTCGTTCACGTAGTCTACAGTTAGTAAATGACTGCTTATGCAGTATACTCAAAGTGCCTATGTAACACGGTTAAAAAAGGGCTGATTCAGATTTCAGGCTGATGCTAACCTATACTGCGTATATTAATAAACTTATCAACATAAATCTTTCAGCTTTTCACAGGTCTCAATTCCAGAAAAGAAATAAGTCCAGAATTAAGTGAATGTTTCAGAAGACATCAGAGAAATACCATCACTTTTTGCCTGTTACAACTACATTTTGCAATGAGGTAGTCGGTTGTTACATTCACTGTCTTCACCCTAAAGGCATTTGTGTTTTCCGAATGACAGCTGCGAACGATTTGAAAGCTTTGAAATTTGAGCAACTGTGACTCAGTCATCTATGAGTTACCTGAACAGTTACAAGGTTTATTTGTGATGCATAATACTTTTTTGGTTATCCCTAAATTCAGCGTGAACTTCTCTGAAGCCATTCTGCATTCCTACATTTGTAACTTCCAATTAGTGAAAAACAAAACTATGTTGTTTTTACTCCTGTTTCGCTATTTACTGCCATTAGCTATATCAAACTTACGGTAACTGGAATTTACAGTATCCAAGTTCATATGTCATAAATTGATCTGAGCCTTGCTGAATGCGTGATTTTGCGTTGCCAAATCTTCGAAAACTTTGAGGAGTTTATGCAATATGTTAAGTGCGATGACGATATGAACTACAGATTTGTGCCAGTATGCAGAGTTGAGGTCAAATAGTTCAAGTTATGCTTTATTCCTCAGTCCCTATTTGTCTAGTTTTGAAGGGCAAAATTCCTCCGGAACTTAAACAGAGCGAGAGCAAAGACTTTTGCACAGTAGCATGGATCCATTTTATTTCATGGTTTCTCATCTGGTGCCCTATTTAAAGCTGTGAAAGGAAAAAGCTGTATATAATTCCCCAGACTCTTCGGCCTGATTGTCTTTATAAAATGAAATGTTGACTGCCATGCAGAATATATAGAACAAGCTTTGCATGAAATCGAAGTAAGAAAAATGAACATTGGGGAGCTTTTACCTAACTCATAGAAATTTAGTACAGCTGAAAACATCATAAGCATACTTCTGACCACTATAGTTTCGGGTCAATAAGTTGAGTTTACCAGTGTCAAAATTATTCACAAAGGCGTAAGAAAAAACAAGACATATCTCACAACAGAATGTCTACAATTAGAGTGGAATCAGAACTGTTTGAATGAGAACGAGAGAAAAAGAAGTAGCTTGGCCTGGTTTCAACCCAACTCAACAAACTGACTGCCGTTACATACGCAATAAGAAATGTTAGTGCATTTCTACCTACAAACTTTAACCTACTTTTCACACACATCTCATTTAACAAATTACTTTAGTTCGTCATGTATTTACAACAGTATGACAACGCAGAATCATCCATCCAGAAAAGCTGAAATCAAGTTATCAGTTACCATTAATCCCTCATTACCATAAGTTCCATAAAGGTGTTAGCACTAATAGCGGAACGACAGGAGAAACAACCTTGTTTAGGTAATGAAATCTTTTTCAAGGATCGAATAACTCACTTTAAAGGTTGGGGAACGTAAGAAATATCATGTTTCTAAGACAAATCAACTTACAACTGGGACATGCAGTACAAAAATAGAATATTACTACCCAGGCAAGAGCCACATTTAACTATCAAATACTTTTGGGGACATGACCTGATGCATTACAACGCTAAGTTGTATACTGGTTTTGTGATGCATTTACGTATGTAACTATATTTTCTCTTTTTTCGTGAGAGTGACATTCAATCGAATAGATAGCATTTGAGTTCAGTATCGTACATTTTTCAGGCTCTACATTATCGCGTTAAATGTGCTCATACTTGTTGCACATCAAGTTCTGTAAATTGCAACGGTAAGGTCTCATATTAGCTACAGTGATGACTGGTGGGTTACTTTGGCTGTCGATATTTTATGTTTGACAACCAATTTAGTTTTACTGTGAACATATACTATGTGTTTGCGTACATAACTATTCAATTATTCTGAAAACTGTTCGGTTTCAAATTTTTATCTTTCGAAAATGTCTTCTGAATGTAACATATACTCTTTTACATTGTATGAAATAATTACTGTAACTAAACTGTTTTATTGGGTTATTCAATAAGCTTACTTGTAAACTGAAAACTTGCAACCCAATTTCATCACATACTTTGTGAATTTATAGAAAAAGCTACCGTCACTCTGCAATGGAACCCAATTTAAAATCTATCAACTTTTCAAAAGAGATATTCAATTCAATTTATTTTTTCATTTACAAAAACATTTTGGAAACATACCTCATTTTTAACAACTCTCTGATTTGATTAAAATTTATTCTACTTTCACCCTGAAATGATAGGTGGTCGTTGGATGGTTCTGATGAATTGAAAATCTTATCAATTGAACTACATGAATGCGATAATCTCTTACTCATTTTAGGAGCATTAATGTACAGTGAATTTCTTCTTGCATAATAAGGTTGCTGCCATTGCTGGTGATTTACTGTATACTGCCTGGAGTCACATTTTGAAGTTCTCAACGATTCTAATTTGCAGTGTAAACGCAGCGATGATGTGTCATGGTTACTTTTCTCAACAAAAGAAAGTAATTTCTCAATGACAAGATTTAAGTTGACAAAGACTTTCCTAAAAATGTAGCAATAAATATTTTAAGGTGGAATCTATTTTTATGTACCAAGAAATTATCGCATACAGCAAAATAGTACTGCCAAATTTATTAAAACCGAATGAATATCCCACTTCACACCGTAGAAACAATGTAAGGTTTGTCTACAGTTACAAACAATCAGCCAACGTATAATACGCTACAACAGCACATACAGTTATAGAGTGGCTTTAAATGCTATTCAGCAATACCGTAAATATTACTACATATTTTAAGAAAATGCAGATGATAACTTAGATATTTTGATCGCCATTGCGTAATATAATATTGAATTGCGTGATAAACTTTGTTTGAACAGTTTACGAATGTAACCTTAAAACTGACTGCTGAAAACTGGTATGAATAAGAGATCAGATATTGGTCAACTCAGTTAGTGAGACAGAATGAGTGATATATCTTTTTCTGCTACGACGAGCAGCCATGACTTAAAATTGCAAAATTGTAATAATTTTCGACACTTTATTTTGAGTCATTTGTAGATAATCTTTATGATGAACTCGAATCATTCGGAAAACCACCGAAGACAAATTTATTCAAAACAACTATTTTATCCACTTATTTTTATTGCCTACGATACACTTGACTCATTTCTGATAGAATGACATGATTAGTAAGGTTGGTAGGGCTCACAGTGTGGAAGAATACCTTTCAAAGATATTAAATGACAGTGGCATCTTGTCACACTGTGTATGTTGTGAACTTTGGAAGGCTGACTAGCGACCCAGTGGAGAAACGACTATGCACCTACACTGAGAACTGACAAGTCTTGGCTTGATTCTATGTTGGCTTACAAATAAGATACCGACAGATCCCAATTAAGATTAATAATTCGTTGTGTCTCTACATTTTTATTGACCTTTTCAGTAATATCATGTTAATATGCCGCGATCCAGATTTTCATCTCACTCTCAATTATCACCCAGTACAGGTTTTCAAAACGTTTAATTCATCATACAGAAAGCAATCTTAAAATCATTCTCGGTGTTCTCATTCGCATCTTTGAAATGATCATGCAAAGTGCCCTATGAAAATTAAGTTGTGAGTATTCTGCTTCCATACAACAAAATAGTGAAAAAAGGGAGGGAATATCGTATAATATATATATATATATATATATATATATATATATGCGAAAGTTATGGGACAAATATTTTGTTTTACAGGTTGCTCAAAAGAAGCTATAATAATTTTTTTTAATTTTTAAGTGTGTTCTATTATTTTAGCGCTTATACTCGGATATTTACATAACACCCGCTTACTTCTCTTTTCATGACAGTTAAGATCTCAAGTGTGTGTGAGCATCATAACCATTCTAAAAAATTATTCGCTGAAAAATTCCTAGTTCTCTAATAGGATTTATTAACTTGTTGGAACGAAATAAAATGGTCTTATTCGAGTAAACTGCACTATAACACGATCACATAATTGCCCTGGAAGAGTATTAATATAGCTTCTACATAAATCGTATCATAGCTAAACTGTCTTAAAACTGTTGCAAAAACAGAGATGCGGTGAGAAAACCCACACCTGATTGACTAATACCATGAAATACAACACATTTTAGATATTACGAATGCATATTGCTTTATGTTCTTCAACAGAATTGTAAACCAACACTGAAAAGTTCATTTTACAAGACAATCTTATTAGGAAAGCAAGAAAATTGTTCAGAAGGTATCATCTGATGCGAGTAAAGGGCTGTTACAAATGTCTACCAATAACTTAATTTCAACAAAACTCCTTTTAGGCCAATATATAAATTTCAGTAGCATCATATTCTATCCAAGGAAAACAGTGTGCATGTTTCTGCATCAAAATATGCGCATCCTAACCTTCCTGAATACTTAGCGCATCGAATAAGGCTAATTTTGTTTTTCACATTGAGGCTCAATAACTCCTCAAACCTTGAGATTAATCTCGAACCAGATCCTACTTTTGCGAATCAACCCCAATGGGTTGAACACTAAGGGGTTAAAATAAAATGGCTATACATCGATAGGCCTACCAACTCCAATAGATTTGCCAGTTTCCCAATTTACCTACTCATTCCGCTATCTAAACAGCTTTGACACACTGTTGAAATATCAATGAATGCTCCAAATTATAAACAGTTAACATGAGAAACCTGATGTATAACAACGCTTTAAAACTGGAAGAATGCCATGTCATTGATCAATCTCTTGTTCAAAAAGATGCAAATAGGTGACTTTTAGTATATGTTTACCTTACTTCAAGGATGTATTGTTTCGAGAATGGTCATGGTCTAATTTGATTGTTTGTGACCTCCATTTCGTGTTTCCGCTATCAACTAAGACAGATCTTTCTACACAAACTGATTTCTGCTACCAACGCACATCATTTGACTGATATTAAAACAGTGAACTCAGTAGATGCTTATCACTAGGAATTATTTTCACATATATTGATATAATTATATATGATCCACAAACCCTCAATTGATAAGGTTGTTACAAACTTCAGACTCATCCCTTTTAGAAATCACTTTACCTATAATACTTCATATGGTATGATATAGTGTATACCTTATATGCCTTGTATTACAAAATAAATTTAGCGGGGGGTCTTTAAATTTGTCGAGGCTATAGCTATCAGCAAGTTTAAACCCCCTTTGCATGTTCAAAAACAATTTATTACAACATCAAATCTCCCTTGGTGACTTCAACCGTGAAACAAGTTCAGCGTACAATTATTCTCACCCTTTTAATCTTCACTGTCGTTTGGCCTTTAGTTCAGCCTTCCTACTCAACCTCTTTTCATATTCTCACACTTTATCTTCATAAGTACCCATAACAGGTATGTGTGTGATCAGATTGTCCAAAATGTGTTGCATAAATACATTACAAAGTCCAAAAAATTTAAGTTTTCTCATTGATTCATCGAAGGAATTCGCTATAATACATATTACGATGCAAATATTATCTTAGAAGGAAATATGTTAGAATCACTAGCCGCTTACTTAGGTATTAAAAGATATTAAAAATAAAGGTGAATCGTGCATCAAAAACCTTACAACAGTGAGTCAATTGCAATTCTTTACCTTGTTTCATCTGAAAAATATTGTAGATAATCGCGTGGTACCCAACTTTCATAAATTTGCTTCCATAATGTACGTAACTCTTCCGTATGGAAAAGATTGATATCATTCAAGAGAGATTTTTTATCAATCACTTCGTCATCAGAATAATTAAATTTAGTTTTACTTAATAACTGTCCTTGCCAGAATAGTCGTTCTTCCTGCATCAAACGATTCCATAATTCCGTTACTTTTTGCCACATCGTAGACGAAAACTGTGAATCATTAGTTATTTTAGGTAAGGACTGATGAGACTTGGGTTTGAGAAATTCGAAGGAATTTCTAAGAGAACTTTTAAAATAAAGGAAAACATTGAGATGAAATGCATTTATGAAAGTACTTTGACATACCAAAAGAAGTCATCATATCTCACAGTGTAAAGAATTTTTTATGTTCTCTTTCAAGAAACCAAAAACAGTCACATGAAGTACAACAGAATGAATACGAAAGTGTATTTAACACATGGCTAAGCATTTAGACTTATACAGATTGTTCATCGAAATGAAACCAGTTTCAGTCGATCTTCTCTTTACAGCAGATTAAATTCTATCGGTCGTTTGCAACGTTATTAAAGCAGTTCTTTATATACCAAGTGAATAGGGTTCCAGCATGCAGAAAAACCGATGGTCAAGTCTGTTTACTTACTGCCCTTACCCAACTTTAATCAGAGTTAACCTTGTTGATAAGCCTTCTATCTTGGTTACTGTCAACAAAATTTATTGAGGACTCAGAATTTAATTATAAGAAGTGATTTCTCGCTAATAAAGTGTGGTATATTGTTACCCAGAAGTAAAACGTTTCCCTGAAATCCAAACACTTCATTGATAAAATCTCGGACCCGAACACGAGGTGTTGCGGTTTCGAAAAAGGAGGGTATATAGGTTCCTTAGTAGTTGTACATGCACACTGCTAATAACCATCACGTCGGATGAAACCTTAGTTGAAGGCCTCCTGTCGATTGTCTCCATGCAACCAATCCCATGGTGTATAAATATTGTTTATTGGCCAGAAAGGCTAGAGAAACCTATATATTCACTGGTGTACCTAATTTAAAGTTGTCATAGGAAATATATATATATATATATATATGGAACACCGTAAGTCTTGGCAGTTTTATTTATCCAAATTATCATGCTTTATAAAAACATACCAATAGTAAATTTGGAGAGGTAGGAGCAACTAAGTGTAAAAAGATGTATTTCTAATGAATGAGTAACATTCCCCAAGAATTCGAATTAGGACAAGGGATGAGATGTGACGAGGAGTTTTATTTCTAGCTTATAATAAATGAGAGGTAAGTGAAACTTTCCACTGCAAAAGCTTTCAGACCAAATAACAGCTTGATAAACTTAAATAGATTCTGGTTTACCGTATATCTCTCAATAAAACAGTCGCCGATAAAAATTGTCTTATGTTGAACATTTACACTCATTGTGTTCATATCAGAAGTTACTATATTCTGAGATAAGCTGTATGAGAAACATATGCCTACCGATTATCTATGCATTTCGTCACTTATAAAGAACAAGAAATCCATTTTGCAGGGTCTCTAACTGTGGTAATAGTTGCACCCAATCAACTGCTTATCGCTTTTCCACTTAATCACTGTTTACTTGAAATATGTTCTCCTCATTCATGACACATTATGGACTATGCGTTATTTTCGATAATAATTCAAGATATATTGCAGCTGACTTTCTTTTCACCAGTCTGAATGTAAGAAACCTTTATTACACACTCTGAATGTTCCAGTGTTATAAGAATGAATAGATAAGAAGGGCTTCCCAAAGAAGATTTTGTCACTAGCCGATATTATCACTAAAATGAAAGCAACATTCCCAAGGTATTTTGCTGCTGTTTAGCATTTATCACCAGGGCTGAGGATGACCACAAAGAAGATCAAACCTAGTGGTTAAAAAAATCACTGGTGGACATCATAACTATTATCAGTTCACTGTGTAAAGATTATCAAACTTTATAATCAGTTGGCCTTACTCCTTCTTACCTAATGGTTGCAGACTACTTCTAAAACTAAAAAATCTATCCTGAAGTCAGCAATAATTAATTTGTTTATTTGTTGCATGAAGCCAGTTTGAATTCTCAGAAAATTTCCTGATAAAACAGGCTGATAATCGAGCTCAGTTTCTTGTTTTTCTGTTCAACGTTTAAATCTATTTCACTAGCTGCAAAGCAATTGACGGAACTGCCATGTAACACCACTATGTTACATGCAGAAACATTAGTTCTAAATCTTGAAATAAGATTCAGAATATTTTTTTCCAATTGAAGTACAAAATGAAGAATATTAATTAATTTAAGGCTCTCGCTAGGAGGCTCTGAACCTGGTTTTCATAATTGTTGGCACTTGTCATCAAGACGTATCTGCAAATTCGATAGGACTGATGTCCTATCTGAGATTCGGACCCACTTCACCCAGTGTTGAAATCATCAACGTTACAGATGAGACATTCGTTCTGCGACTGACACCTTGAAGAACTGGGTTAGATACATTGAACTGTCACTGAAGAGTAAATAATTTTATTTTGTCTAGTCATGACTGAAGACTAAATTTTACTAATTATTTTTTCATATGGCCATGGAGCTGAGAGGCAACAAATATCTATCCAAGTGCACCCCGATAGTGAACCTCCTAGCTTGGTGACCAAATTTCAAAATGAACGATAGAATTCGGTCAGCCCTCAGAACAAGACAACATGAAATAAGTCGCTCTTCAGTGACCGATCAGTGCGTAAAATAATGACTCCTTTATTACGTAATCCATCTGATACCACAATGCCTTTCAAGCATAAAGCTTATATTTCCTCACGAGTTTCAACCTTTAAACTTTATTTATGTATGAGTCCACGGCTTTAGAATAAACTAGTTACAACTCTTCGCAAGATTTCACAATAAAGTTCATATATAGTATTAGTCATCCATAACAGTGTAATTGTTACTGCGTCATGTGAAATAGCGAGTAGAGCCAGTGAACCTTTGTTCGTCACATGAAACACTTAATTCCAATTCAGCAAAATATTACATTTGAATATCTTTGTCGTTAATCAGTTTATCTAGTTCATTACCTTGTCCTTTTATAATTTGACATTTCTGCTGCATCTAACTAGATTTTGTTTGACTTAAAAACAGTTTGTTTGCTTCGAAAATCCATGTTTTATAGATCCAACTATTTGTTAAAAAAATAATTGCTACAGTTCGTTACATACATGTGATCATACCATTACCATACTGATAATCCGATGAAGTACATGAACTATTCAGTTCGACGGGTAATGTTGAAGAAAAAGTAAAAGAGATTCAACTGTGTAAATATCATTTTTTCATAATGAGTTGTATACTTGGGACAACTCCCTGAAGACAATGAAAGAAAACAATATTCAAGGTATATTACAATCGACTAAAGATAAGAAGGAGAAGCACCTGTCGATTTAAAAAAGGGTTACTTTGTCAAAATCCCAAAGAAGGAAGGGAGACCTACGTCTTTGCAAGAACTGGCAAGGAATCATCCTACACCCCTGTCCCCCCCCCCAAGCAAAATATTAGGCCACATCATGCTGGAGAGACTAAAGGATGCTCTGGATTCAGAACCGTGACAGGAACAGACTGGCTGACTGACTGGCTTCGAGAAGAACAAATGATGTGCGGATCAAATTGCAACGCTACGCTATACATCATCATAGAACAGAGCATATCATAAAATGGCAGTCAACTCTCCACCTCAACTTCATCCACTCTGAATAGGCTTTCGATAGCGTCGACAGAGAAGTAATTTGCCAGGCAGTTGCTTCAACACTACGGGTTTAGTGCAACAAACCTTTACCAACCTCATTCGACAGCAGCTATATGCTGTTTGACGCTATATGCCAAGTGATTCACAATGGAAAGCTCTGCGACACCTTTGAAGTGAGGACAGGAGTGAGACAAGACAAGGTTGCCGCCTACTATCACCGATCATCTTCCCAATTATGGTCAACTGGACTGGACTGGATCATGCAAGAAACAATGAGGAGCGAGAAGATAGGGATAGGCTGGCTGCACCGATGAAAACAGCCAAGAAGATTTGGATTCAGCTGATGATGATTTTTGTCTGATGTCTAGTCGCACAAACTCGAAGATCTACAGGCGAAGATTAACAAGTTGACAGAAGAGGCAGGGCAGCGAAAACGGGACTTCAAGTGAACGTAGAGAAGACGGAGGTGATGAAGATACCTAATGATAACAACAACAACAACATCAAGCACCAATCACCATTAGTGGCAGAAACCTAACGGAAGTTGTCTCGTTCACCCACCACCTAGGCAGCATCGTTTCAACTACAGGTGGCACATGCATACACGAAGATGTCATAGCCAGGATCGGAAATACAGCAAGACAGGCCTTCATGAACCTGAAATCAGTGTGGAGATCTACTGCACTGTAGGCAACATGAAGAAGAAGGAGAAGAAGATCCGGATTTCCAACACCAATTCAGTCAAGTCAGTGCATCTATGTGATGTTTGAGAGAGTTGGCGCGTTACGAAAAGCATTTCCAACAAACTACAGACATTCATCAACAGCTGCCACCTACGCTCGCTCGATACTGAAGATCAGATGACTAGAAAGAATAAGCGCTAAGGAACTCTGGCTTGGAAATGAACCAACCAAGAACCTATCGTCCAACAAATATGCAGAAGAGAGTGGAGATGGATTGGATTGGATTGGGCATACACTGAGAATGGCGATTGGGACATCACATGCCAGGCTAGGCCGTCGAGTGGAATCCAAAGGGGAAACGACGAGTTGGTCATCCGGGCTAAGTGTGACATGGAGGAGATCATGTGAGGTGGAAATGAAAGCTTGTGGGTGGTTGTGTAGCTGGATTGAAAAGACTGCAGATAAGAGAGTGAAATGGTGACGTGCAACTGAATCCCTATTTTCTACTAGGAACCCAAAGGACAAGTAATAATAACAATTTAACCCTCAAGAAAAGAACTTGTTAGGTGTTTTAACTTAGAAATCAAATTCTTTTTTATCCATTTAAAATCATCACTTTAGCACGACAAAAGACTGTGAAACATTTTGCAGGATTGAGATAACTCAGTTTTTGTTGATGAACAGGAAGTCATGAACAATGAACTGATGCAGGACTCTTTGTAATACTTAAAATGGAAAGCTGTTGTGTAGGCATGAACAGGATAAGGAATAACATTTATGAAGCAAGGAAACCTATTTAACGGCTTTTACATTTGATTGTACTTCATTTCTTCTGTGAAATAATTGGTCTCTGTTACGTTTGAAGACTTTTAGTTATGTAAATATCTCTCTATAAAATAAAAAGACTGCAACATTAGCTTTGTTGAATGTCCATGCTCTTGGCATAAATGAGTCTATAGATTGTTAGTGTCCGACTAGGCACCCTAAATATATTTTAGGTTTTGGCTAAGTATGCAAATGAAACTAGGTTATTTACACTTCTGTTTGAAACTAAACAACCTAAAATACATGCGTATATCAGCGAAAATGTGGTGAAACAGGTTGGAAGTTGCAAGTATAAAGTATTAGTGAATAAAACGTTAAACAGCTTCAGATATTAAAGATGGATAGTGGCCAGCAGTGGAATCTATTATTCTGATTTCGTTCTATTTGGGACTCACCAGCTAGATGTACCTTCCTCACAGTGAGTAATGTTGTTCTCATTGGGATTCGGACTCGGGTCTTAGATAGGAAGAAATGCGAATCTGTATTCCACTACTAGTCACTATCCATCTTTACTATAGTTAGATCCCAGGTAATGTCGAGGCATCCGCAAGGGAGCCCATATGACAATAGAGACCGATCACCTGGGTCCAATTAACGACAGTATAATTCAAGCAAATAAACTAGCTTCAGATACTGTTTATTGTAAAGGTGCGGTCATCAAGCGTTCTTTTACTCAGCTTCCCTGGATGTGATTTACATGCTTTTTGCATTTTGACTTCTTAGTGTGTCTCCTTCCCTCTGAAATCTTCACTTGTCAATTTTTATTATTCTTGCATTTGGCAATCGTGAAATACATACCTTCGATATAGATTTTCATGAGTAGCGTTTAAAAAAACATTTCCCGGTTTGATAGAGTATTTCAGTAACATTGCTGATTACTTAACTGGTGACTTCTTCCATTCAGCTTTTTTGGTGGACACTCACCTTCTGTAAGTGACGAGGAATACCGGGGGTTGGACATATCGCCCATTCATGAATTTTTAACGGAATTTCATGTTTCAATCTGTCACAATATTTATATTGTTCCCCATCCCATTTGAATAAAATCTAGTACTTAGTAATAAACATAGTGACGGTATCTTCGTGTATGACTTACGATTCGTATTTCGCAGCCATGTCCCCACTTTCGTTACAATAACTGGGCCTATTTGTCTCAAAAAATCATCACCCATTTTGGTGCACTATATGTAGGTTTTCACAACAAATGAGTGGCGAAATTTATTACCTCCTATTTCAGCAGTGTGATCACACATCCCTGACATTTGTAACGCGTGATCCAACCTAATCTTCATTGACACCATGCATGACCTTATTCTTTGTCAGTGCGTTTGGTAACTGCAGCACCTATGCTGATAAACCAAACTGCTTACAAACTGCACTGCAAGTACGTGTGTTGACGACTCTCTATGAAAAAGAGTTAGTGAACGGTGTAGAAAATTTGTGAGTCGTATTGCAAACACCTTGAGACTTTTATCGCAATGCAGCCTCTTACCTGTAAACTTCTGCGTGGTTTGCATTCTATCCACTGAGTCATCGGACTCTATTGTCATTTGTGCCATCGTTAAGCCATCTGCATAATAGCAACAAACATTTCATGACTGCACTTGTGGAAAATGGAACTCACTTAATTACTACATCCCCATTCATTACAGCTGTGTCCGACTTTAAAAGCATCTTCTGTCGCTCACTTTAGAACATCCACATTTTAAAAACAATAGTAAAAAACAGTTAATGGTATAGTAATTTGGAAGTATGGATAGACTTTACATTCCCAGTTCGACAATCGAAACTCACTATAAATCGTCAGCTATTGAGGAAAGATTCTCTGATTCACAGCAGAATCTTTCTGATTCGACATCGAATCACTGGTTTCTTTTTGATTTCTCAATACGTTAATCAAAAAGGGATGGTCAGTCAAATAAAATGGGGTCGTCGTTCCAAGATCATCATTTTGTATATTGCTCTCCATTTTACGCCAATTGATTGCCATTTCATGCATCTGTAAATAGATTGAGTTACTGACGATAATTCACTCACAACATACTCAAAATTTCGAAATATTACAGAAATTTCTGGAAAGGTAGTGTCTAAATCTTAAGTTAAGTATTCAGTGACTGAAAAATTCTATTGAAAAACACACCTAATTAATAACTATCAGTAACTTACTCTCTTTTGACAAGTGGTATGAAGTTTATTTCATATAAATTTTATTCAGTAGTAATCTATCCCTTTACATTTATTCCAGTTATTACAGAACAACCACATATAATTGCCGTTCATCTACCTTTCCTTGATACATAAATAAAACTCACAATCGACTTTTAAAATACTTGGAAATACAAATCCTTTTGTATTGATCAACCAAAAGGAAAATGATCCTGCAAAATTCACCGTCTGTATGGTTGAGAAAAAAGGCATGGGAATACTTCACTCATTTAATTGCCCTCAAAAAAGTGTTATACTTCTGTGCTTTGACCTTGAATAGTGAAGTCGTTTCGCAGAAATCACTTGTACAAACTAGATAGTGTACTTATGTGACGACAATGTTAATCGAATGTGTTTGCTTTCTTTTTATCATATATCAAATATAACTACCAAATTTTAAACAAGAGACGATAAATTTCAGTTAGGTGGTGATTATGCACATCAGACTCCCATAAAGTACTCAAGTTGGTTAGTGACAGTTAAATGTATGCTAATCTCTAATATTTATTTATCTGACTATTACTTGCCATGTACATCATGGTATTTGTTCCTCTAAGATATTTAAAGATCGATATCAGACTGGTTGCATCTTTTTGGCTTTTAGTACTAAACACAAAGAGAAAATGGTTTAAGTTCCAATCATTTACTCACTTTCGCTCTATGATGTTCTGATCATTAGCTTACCACACAATTAATGTGTAAAGCTATTTTGATCTAGTGTAAATCTTTCACAAATTCTTTTTTTTCGTAAAAATGTTAATTTTGGGTTTTAGTTTGTGTAGATAATTTGCCACCTTCTGAGCTAATATCTCACTTAAAAATCAGGACAAATTCCCCAATTTTTATTTGCATCAAGTTGCTAGATATATCAACATTTTCACAGATCAAAGCTTGCACTTTATATCTCGGTTAGAATAAAAACTTTCCTCATAGTTGTCCAAGGCAATTAACCTCTTCCAAATTATTTTATCATTCTTTTGGCAGTATCATATACCTCACATAGTGAGTAAAGTTATGAATCTTCTGTCGTTTAGTATTATTATGGGAAAAAAATTAACAAAAATTATCTTTTATTCAAGAAAGTAGAAAATTAAATAAATTTCCACTCCAAACTTTATCGTCAGATAAGCCTAAGTGTAAGAAAAATATGATTATAGTAAACTAATTTCCTTCATCCAACAAATTCCTGTAAAAAAAATTCCTTTTGTCCTCAATAATTCAATAAGGGCGAAAAAGTACACCGATACTGCTTTTCTTTTAATATTTAACTTCACACTTTTTAGATATTCACTTATTTGGTTCTTGTCAGTAGTAGAATTATAAGCAGTGAAAAAATTCAACTCCTTACTGTGAATTTTGTTTCATTTCATTCAAGCAGTTGTACTGGAATTTAGTAAAGTAACGACTGTTAGTCTCGACTGAAAATGCTTTTCACCCGATTCTTCACCATTTATCAAATGATTACTGAATATGATTTTACTGGGCTGTTATCATTATTTGGAGTAAAAAACTTCAACTGTTATTCTTAGCTCAAATAAAAGAACAAGATTATTATTTGAACATTAAGGAACAGTTCACATGCAAGGCTGACGCTTCCGCTAAACAGGTTTTATGTCTACTTTGAGTTATAGTGTTTCAGAAGTACATTTTAAAGTCACCTAAGACATGTTCTCAGGAACTTAGCAACAGCTGATGACTCCTGTCTTCAGTAAGTATTCACATTTTAAGATTGGGGATTACTGGAAATGTAGGTGGTAAATGCTTTTTTTTGTATACACTTTAATGAAATGACTTGGGAAATTATCTTACCATTTTGTTCAAATCGGCTTGAAACTGTTCCGCGATGGTGGTTCTGAATGGATGAAAATCAAAACATTTTAAAAATGACCAAGAAAATGAAATGATAAACTTCAGACCAATTACAGACCTTAGATTAACCATGACCGAAAAAGTGTTGGCTCTTACAAACTCAAAAAGCAGATACAGTAACACTGAAGATATTTGCCGACTAAGGTATTGTGACCTTTTTGAGCACAGTTTCATATATATAGCGATTTTATCAAGGCATCATTTTTAAAACACATGAACAATTAACATCACAATAAATTTCTTTCTCAGAAAATCCAGATCAGGATACACACTGGCAGTACCCAAATAACCTACTCAATGGAAGGTTCATTCTTTATCTGTATGATTAAAATATCATATTTATGCTGGAAGCAGATATGTCATAAACCTCATTGCTTAATACTAGTTTTAGTGATCAATAACGTTATAACAATTATCTATAACAGTTTTTAGATGCAAGAATCAGCCGTAGCAACTGGAATGTTCACTGCCACACAGTTACAAACAACCATGTTATAGTAAACAATTTATGCCTGTAAATTAATGTGTCAATTCTGTGAATATAGGTCGCATCCTTCATGTCATACTTCAGACTTTTCCTAATTATCTGCGTCTCACCTCTTTCATTAAAGTTGGTTATTCAAACTTCAAACTTACATTTCTCTGAAATAAACATTTACAACTAAAAATCGTACTGCAACCTAGTGTTTATTACATGTATAAACATAGATTCACTTGTGGAACTCTAGAACTTACATTAGAATATTAATTTGTGCACAGAAAGACTCAAGAATATCCTGAGGTGACAGACACATTAGTTAGTATTTCCGCATTTTCACAAGCACTTACTGTCTACTTCTTTTGGTTTTATGAGAAGAATATGACAATGGTTAATTTGAAACATTTGTTTATCAGTTATTATACTTACTTTGCGTCTACTTGGTTGTTGTTGGATAAGTATAAGCAACCATCGACTGCTGAACACTTTCCATCTCTGTGGCATTTATGTTTGCATACAACTTGAGTACCAGCATTTTGCATTCCATTACGAGAAAGAGCTGTTTTCTTTGGAAAAGACCCTTTCAGTAAAATGGAGAAACAAGTATTTAGATCCAGTCTGAATTAAAACAGATACAGAAATAAGGTTGAGTAGTGCGTATGTATGAATAAGGTTCCGATAAAAGTAACAAGAAGTGGTTTGTGAGTGACTGATTTGTTTTTAACAGTGGTTTGGAAATACAGTGAGCTGAAGCACTATTCCTTCACTATTTAAACTTGGACGTATATCCCCATTTGAGAACTGAAACGTGACCATATTTTCTGCTTTTCAATTCAATCCATTCGAAGGCTTTACAGTAATCGGTTTCTTTTTTAGTGAAAAGCAACTAAATATCAGTTCACAAAAACGGTATATCATTAGACCAATACTTGACTCCAAAAATATGCCAGCAGATAAACTATTCAAATATTCAGAATCAATACTGTTTGCCACTAGAACTAGTTTAAATTCCAGCATAATCAGTACCTACTAATTAAAAAAGATCCAGTGATCTTCACGCGGAAAATGATAAGAAACTGTTGACTTCGATATGACAAGACTCCATATTTAGATACCAATGCATGTAGCACCAAGGTAGCCACTAGTCAGCTAAATAATAACTCATTACCTACTCATGGAACTAAGTTATCAGTTGAAGACATCATTTTAGGTGCATAGCTGCCTCTGACCTCAACACTTTTCAATTTTCAGAGGCAAACACTTTGACAGCAAATGTAAATGGTGCTGACATCTCCAACTGCAGCAGACATATTTTTGAATGGTTAGAATTACAGGGTTCTTAGTTTCTAGACTTAATATATGACAGAGATATGTAAGTAGCGTTGAATATGTTGAAATTGAAGCCTAAAGACAATTTGTTTGGATATATGAACTTAGAAGCAGGTGTTACCATACTCTTTAATAGACCAGAGAATGACAAAGGATGATTAACCTTTTTGAAATATGATATTAGACGAAGAATAGATGGCAGTGTAAACAATGCCAACTGTATACCTAGCTTTTAGCTAATCACATTCAACATCAGTTCAAGAAGGATAAGTAAGTTGTTTAACTAACGGAGTTAGAAGGCATGATAGAGAATCAATGAATAAAAGCAAACAATAAAACATAAAATGAGGCTCTATTGCCCGACATTTATAATTTGGAGTTTATCGAAAAAATCCAGAAGGACGCACATGAGGTGGAGTAGCAAACGTATACTGAAGAGTAATGACACCAAAAAAGAAAACAAATACAAAACCTCTATGTTAGTATATCAGAGAGTAACAACATCAACGTAGAATTCTCAGTAATGTCAAAATTAAGCTGACATTTAAACCTACAGACTAAGTCTGCTATAAATTCTGTCAACTTGTCGATCCTTTAAAACGAAATAATTAAATCATTGGAATCTCATGCACTGATTGTGAGGTCTATTAAATAGGTTAAACCAACTGACAGGGGTCTGTTAGATTATCTGAGCAAATGAACTTGACTAAATTTAGGATCATAAGCTTCACTGTGATCAATAATCCAGAAGGAAACATAACCATTGCAAGACTTGCAGTAATGTGATCATACAATGAATTGGGACAGAATATTGTATAAAGGTTAATATGGTCACATGGAGAGGAAGATTAATAACTGATTCTGTGTTCATTAAATCAAACCCCAGCAGGCGTAATCGGAATGATACAACACTTTTTTCTATGGAAATTATAAATTCTACTATCAGTGAGGACAAAAAATACCAGTTGATGAAATTATAAAAGTTAGATGCCATGAGTTATACAACTAATTTGATATCGTCGTAAAAAGCAGCTTGTGTTTGGAAAGTCATCCGGTAAACAATATTGCATCACTGTGTGCTACATACCAAATAAAAAATCTAACATAATATTATTTCTTACGTATTCAAGTTCTACACTTATATCAAACGAAGTACTTAGGTGAACTAGGCACATGTTTGCCAATGGGATGCCTTTTTTATGCAATATTTTGGCGGCGCTATGGAATCAGGAATAAAGGTTTGAAACATATAGTTAGATTGTTGACTGCTGAATGTCCTTCACAGGAAGTGCGTGCTATACACACCACTTCAGTTTCAGTAGTCATAAATTGTGACGTCATAAAGTTTCTAAAGAAGCAATTAACATCATCTTGTCTGAAGTAAACTGGTTGCATAGTTACTTTCACTTCCACATAGATAAGCATCTTTTAAATTTCTCATAAAAAGTTGTATCTTTGAAAGTCAATTGATTTCTAGACATTGTTGACTCAAAATTAAGTTTATTAAAAGAAAATACAGCTAAGTATTTCAATCTGAACCTTGAATGAGTAAACTATCATAACGATTTTCCCTTTTAGAGAGACCTCCCGAAACTATTTCTTTCCAAATCTTGTACTTGTGTAGTTCTACTTAACAAGTTTTCTTTGCTAACTGTATTTTGAAGAGAAGGTCATCACTTTTAGATGCCACATTTTCGGTTTAGTTCATCTGTAGTTCTAGTTGTCTGTGTTACTTTGATTAGTCTGCTACATCAGCCTGAATGGCTTTAGGCAATATCGTTGTGTTTTTCCACCTCTAATTAGTATTACATCACATTTAGAAAATAGTATTTTCATCGTTGTAAGTTTCGCATACAATTACCTGTTTAGTGGAAATTGAGAAAATATAAGGTGAATCGAGAATATTAGGAAGACTTTGTTCCAAAGAAATTACATCACCTAATGTTTTTCGTACACCCTGTTCAAAAATAATTCAAAATTGATATTTTTTTATCAGTCACATCTCAAAACTTTAGAAGGTCACTAAAGAAGACTACAATCTTACTTCTGAAGGATTTTTAATGCTAATTTTATGTACAGTAGTGAACTTAGCATTGAGTCACCCTAATGTGGTTACGGACACTTTAATTGAATTACCTTAAGGGCAGAGATGAAATGAGAGTTAGTAATTGAATCCAAGAATTTCATTTGGAAGTGAATGGTTATGACGATTCTCTACGACGTTTGCTCTACCTTATAGTTAACCTTTACGTAATTAAGTATTGAGGTTATCACAGGTAAAGTACATTTTTTCGGAGACTAGTAGCAAATTTCATCGTGCTATATCGTTAACACTGGCAGAATTATGAAGAATGATGCGAAAAATTATAATGACAGATGACTTTTGGTTTTTGATATCAAAATAATCCTCATTTGTACAAAAGGACAAGAATGCTCCGTGTAGAAGAATACTTACATCTTGTCTGCTCTAAATATACATTCAGAAAACTAATTTCTTAGATTACAAAACTCATCTATTGACCAAACGTCTGCATGAAACTACTCTCGTCTAATCAAGATTGTCCAAAATATAATAAATTCCAAAGGCATTCCTGGTTTTCAGGCATATAACCTTTAGAGAACCAATATGAACATGGTTGTTTTTCCCAGTGCTAACCCAACAGTTGAATTTCTGTGCATAAAATTATGACATCAATAGTGCTTACCACGATAGACCTCTTGTATCCAATACAGTTAAGGCCAAAATATTGTATTGTGACGTACACTAAACTGTATTTCTATTTAAGGATGTGTGTTACATTAGTTTTTACTAATGCTTTTCTAAATCAAACATTATCATAGAACAATACCAAGTAAAAAACAATTATTGCTGAACGACGATAAAAGCTTTCTGGTTGATACTGAACTGTGATAAATCATTTTATAGAATCATTAAGTAATATGATTATGGAACTACTACTGCTTTCTGAACTAAACTCAGTTTAAAACTTTCTGTTCAGCTTTGACAATATTGAAAAATGAGTTTGGCAACAAAATCGAAAACAATCAGTGGTATGGCATAACATACAGATTAATAAATATTACGAACTTCTCAGAATATTTATTGTATCCTTGTAATCTACATATTTCATCAATTAGGAGTACATAATTGATAAAACAAAGATCCTTACAAAGAAATTGCTTTAAGAATAATATACACATACTTTATGTAAGTTTTGGCTTTTTATATGCCACCTGATTATTTCCATTTAATATGAATTGAAGCAAATATCTCTATATTCTTTCTGTATGCTGAATCATATTCTTTGGCTTGTTAATGCTGTTGATTGACGAATCACTATCATTTTTATGCTAAGTTGCCATCAGAAACTGTTGATGAGGCTCCAGTGGAGAGTCATTTATTCACTCATAAATCGAAAACTGTTGAAGCACTGGGTCTGTATGCGGTCTATTTTATGGAAGCACTATGAATCAAAATGATGAAAATTGATGATATGTTTGTCTTGCATTTACAGATTTATACTTTGCTTCCATTGTGTCAGTGACACGAGCTTCATAAAAGGTAATCCAGATGATATTGCACAGCATTCATAATTCTACTAACCATCCACTTGCGATATGGCTCGTCAAGGTATTAGATACAGTGAAGAACAAATTTTCAAAACACACCCTGCGGGATACATTTCGCTTTGTTGATTTGGTAAAAGTGTCAGTCTGTCAGGGGAGTAGATGGTTACTCTGAATGTCATCTCATTATTTAAAAATGTCCCAGTAAGGAAAGCCATTTTCTTCCTATGAGACTTCATTTGGTACAGTAAATTAAACATTGGTACTCCAAATCAGTATAGAAAAGAACTTCTCAGACGTAATTTCAACGTACCACTTAGATTTAACAACAAAATCTGAAGACAGACAGACAGACGGTGTGGGAATGGATCCGCCTCTAGGACTCCTCCTAGCTGACTGCCTTATGGCAAGCTAAGAAGACACAACACTGTCGAAAGTAATCAGTGAGCCTCATTCATTTCCACAAAAGATACAGAAATGATATCTTTATTAGTTGTGAAGAGAATATATATGTCGAAAATCTGCTTCAAAACTTTAGTAGTCCTCATCCAGTTATCGAATTTAATCTAGAAGAAAAATCGGACTTGGAATTTCACTTGCTTGACATTCAACTTCAAACAAAAGACGACAATTGACTCAGAGATCTATTTACAGAAAACCCACTTGGAGCAGGCGGTTTATTAGTTTATGAGGCTGTGCTCTTAAGTAGAAAGTGGAATCTTATTGATCTACTGTTCCCAAGAATACTAAGAATATGCACAAAGGAAACCATCCATGATGAACTAGAAAGCTTGTGAGAAATCCTAATGAAAAATGGATATCCACTGAAATTTACAGATAAGAATCGGAAACCAAAAAGAGCCACAGTACCCGTGCATACTGCTCCAAAACAGATTTTACTACTAAACCTCGAATTCAAGGGAGATAATGCGGCAGATATACTTAGAACCAGACTATCAAGGTCCACAAACATAACTTTCTTTGCTGTCAATCTTAGAATCACATTCTGCTATCATAAAAAGCACGCAAACGATAAACCAGAGCACTAGGCCACATCAGTATGCATATAAGTTTACCTTCTCCTGTCGAGCCGTGTATATTGGCCGTACAATTTGATAGCCTATATGATATACTCGTGAACACTATCAAACTTGGCTGACAAAGGAGGAATGGAAATACATCCCCAACTCTGTAACAGAACACTTAGTATGCTCAGGACATTTGGCTTCTTTTGATAAGTCCTTGGGACTAAGATATCTGCGCATAGCTGAAGCATTAGCAATTCATAACTTCAAACCATCATTATGCGTTCAAAAGAATTATGTACAGCCTCTCTCTTCGCCATGGTCATCGTAATTTACCGATCAATCTAAGCAACCCACATATGATGAAACTATTTTTATTTTTATTTGTAATCATTTTGTTTATTTACCCATTTCTTAACTTTCTATTTGGGATGCCACTTATATTGGCCTTTGACTAGTGATTAATTCGGAATGTTCTATTCTTTTTCACTATACATTCATGAACAAACTGCTAATAGAATGATTTCTCTTTGAAGAGAAATATTTGTCAAAAAGGCTAAAGACAGATGACTGAACAAATAATTGATTTTTTTACAGATCATAGTTCTTTCACAGGTTTTAGGGACACTCCTGTTCCGTTAATAGATACGTGTTTTTATTTTGCAGCACAGTCTGCACTAAAAAGAATCTTGATCAAAAATATCAAAAGTATAGAGTGATTAGGCATTCAAAGCCACCTGTCTTTCAAGTGGGTATCTTATTCACTAAAAAGGTCAATTAGGTTTTGCGGGACGAATGGGAAGTAAGAGCTTTAGATATATTTAGAAAACGTCAAACGTTAACTGTAATAAACTCATATGAGAGCTTATATAAGCTACGTTTTTCTTTCCAACGCTTCCTTCAAAGTCCTGCGCATGGAAAAAGTGTTGCAAAACATTCAAAAAAATCAGAAATTCCCATCACATCCAAAAGTAGGGACGTAACTGGATGATTACGCAGTATCTTATGAAACAAATAGCTGTTTGCCTTGAAGACGAAGAATTACCCAAGAAGTCCAAAAACATACTGGCTTCATAGGAAAACAATATTGTGTATATCAAATACCAAACTAACCACTTATCTTAGTACTTAGCCTTCTTCTCTTTCAAATGCATTATATGACTACTTAAAATAGTTCTTTCATAAAACTTATCACACATGCTCGATTGATTTATTACCAATGAACTCGTTTTTTCTTCCAAAATTAGCTCAGAAACGCCTTACAACATTTTTATCTTATCCAATAGTACTTGTTTAAATTTCAGACTGCATTATGTATAAGCTTACAAACCGTTTGGATGGAAGAAAAAACGTGAGGAAAACGACCATAAATTTCAGAACTGTACTGACCATAAATAAGAGAATCCCTGGGAAATTTAAATTCTACTTCAGATTACTAAATAATTAAGAGAAAAAGACATAAAATCACCAAACATTCACAGGAAACAATAGGAAACGGATGTGTAACGACGTATTTACTTCGTAAATGATGAACGGACACATTTGCTAAAAATTTAACGATTTCAAGTACAGTTTCTTACGGTCTACAATTACTAAACTGTTTTTCCTGAATGGAATTCAACTAATGTGAATAGTCTTCAGAGATTTTAGCACATGTAGACATGATCACTACTCAGCATTCCTGAAAAGTTTCTTGATTAAAGTAGCAGTAAGCTTCAGTGCAGACGTCACACGAAGAAAACATATATATACCCATTCACTCATCATACATTTTTCTTTTTAACAAACTTGAGAAAAGCAAGAAAGGTGGTACTAAGATAAGTATTTCATGGATTCTCCTTAGATACAATTCAAACAGTAATTCACAATGTTTTTGATGAAAAGCGTGATCTGTTATTCAGCCGTAATACGTGATCAACAGCAGAATAATTAGATATAGTTTGTATTTGTTTAAGTCACAGAATGTTTGAAACGAAATATCAGCTTTTTTGCACGGAAGTCTGGTCCGAAGTCCTAATGTTGTTTCTCTCTAGAAACTCGGACCAGACTTTCGTACGAATAGCTGAATTATTTCGTTCCAGACACTCTATGACTTACACAACTACAAACTACATTTGGTGCTAACTTTTTATTCAGCGCCTAATATTTGTGGTATTATCCGGTCAAATCATGATCATTGTTCACATAAATTAGTATAATTCAATGACTAATTCTTTGGAGAATAGTTTATGTAGGCCAAAAGATTATTACCGGCCGAATCAGCATGCAAAAATAGTGGTAGTAGAACCGACATGTACGTATTTCACGGATAATCCTCAGATACAATACAACCAGTACATCACAATGTTTCCGATGAAAAGCGTGATAGACAACCGACTTTTATAAATTAATAAGAATGTTTTGATTGCAACAGAAGAAAAGAAGGATATAGGCTAACCGAACTGGCGAAATTTGATGAAGTATTTAAGACTACTCAAAAGTCAACTAATTATACAACGATATGATGAACATTTTAGAGATATCAGAAGTGGGAGGGGTTTGTATACAGTGTTATTAAAGAACTTGTAAAAAAGCATAAATCATAAATAACTTCTCTAATGCCACTAAACAGGAATGGTTGCCAACCAGAATTTCTTAGCTAGCTTGCTGTCTCAATATCTTGAAGGCAAGTATGACGATAAAATTCAGGTTTTCGTCAGTAATTTTAGAAACCAACGACAGACATTTGTTGATTAAATTATAAAAAGCATAAATACTTTAACAGTTATTGTGAATATATACAGTTTTATGAATGGCGAACAATCTTTTTGTGAAATGTACACATTAGTTTTCTTCTGCAGTTAGAAAAGAAAGCCGTACGCAGTTTAGTCAATAGTGATTTGTTCTGCACGAAAGATGACAGGTTTTCACACGATTCTCAGTTTAGGCATAGTCCACATTGCTGATAACTCTAAGTTAAGGACAGAACAAACATTCAGGGGTTTACTATTTTTTGCTTTTTTCTGTTTGATTTCAGTGATTGATGAAAAGGGTTTAGAAACCAAACAGTTCCTTACAAACCACCCAACTGACCACTGTCTTTTTTTGAATACCAAATAATGCTTACCTCTTCCGTTGACATTTTGAAAGCAGTCCTAGCTTCAAACAAATGATTGTTCATACAACTTCCTAACTATAGTTGAAAACACTGTAAATATTCAGTAAGTCTGAAGATGACATATGTAGTTCCTGTGCCGAAACAGTAACTAAAATATAGTGAGCAAATCAAAACTATGATGTCAGTTTTGAAAACACTACGGTTTACGATTAACAAAACGCGACAGCAATGTCATTTATTTTGAAGAAGAGGAATCCTCTTTCAGAAATGAGTGACATCTTGTGAAAAATAAAAAGTCCTACACATCACAAAACCAAGCTATCGACATGGAGGTATAAATAATATTCAGAAATGAAACATTCACACAAAACTTACGATAAGTATATCTTCTAGGCGAATGTTTGTTCATCTCACTTAGAATGTATTCCAAAATTTCTCCATTTTTATCACTTAAACCACAGCCAAAGTCCTTGTATTGATAATCGTCAAAATTCTGTGAAGGTTTTGAAAACATTAAAATAAGTAGAAAATTTGATATTTTTACGTACACCCATGTAGTGCTTAACAAACAAATTTTTAAGCTGCATGTTTAAACCTAATACAGAACAGTATATTGACAAGTTTGACTAAGTTATTAATCAGAGATCACTAAACATTAAAATTTTTATACTCTTTTTCGCAACATAGCACGCACATTTCATACTGTAAAAAACCTGTCAAACGCAGTTTGAAAATGAAATAAACACATTGTATTTATGAATTTACTTAGTAATTAGCAAATGACTACTCACTTAATGCGTATTTGCTACAAATTGAATCGAAAACGCAAATGTGATAATGAAAAGTTATGTCTCCAAAATGTGGAAAAATAATATTATACAAGTTAACTTCAAATTTGTTAGCAAATGAGTAAATTCGTTCATGAGATTTCAGATGTATTGCACTGTATCCAGTAATAGCGGATGAAACAAACATTCATAAAATATTAGGTGTGGGGTGACTTTCGTTGCCACGTTAATATTCAACTGAAATGAGCTCATTACATTCTCCATATGCTATCCTACTGCTTAATTTGAATTTTGGAAAAGGCCACCTAATATGGGCTTGAATGCATGACATTTAAATAGATTGTAGTTTGCAATATTCATTGATCCCGTAGAAAGCCAACTGTATTGTCTTTAATTTATTCTGATCACTTGCACTTTTTTTGACGTTCACATGCGGTCAGCAGTAGATTGGTGTATAAATCAGCAACTGATAGCAGAATCAACGAACGGAACAATGTAAATCTTTCTGACTTTGTCAATATATGAGCACCTTTATGTCTAAGAAATCAGAACACTGGTAAATTTATTTTCAGTTTACGCATACACCTAAAGCCTAATGTGAAGGGAGAAACTCTTATTTAGTTACCAGAGTCATACTAACCGCTTATGGACGAAACATTTTTTTGTTAGAAGTATACTGCAGATATTGCAAAACTTCAGAATAACAATCAACTTCAACTCCAATTCATATTAACTGTAAATTTGAAAACAAAATATTTTTTAATTGAAATATAAAACGCATGTTAAACACTTTACTCATAAATTAAGTATCAACGTGAACGTCCATGACACTTTGATAAAATTTGAGGAAAAATTAGTTTGGAGGTTAATTGTTTTGATTGAAGTCGATTCGAATACAACTAACACATATGAAATATGATAATAAGAGCAATAAGGATTTTTTTGGTGTTTTGATATTTGTCAAATGTGGTGTAAACCATAGAACTCAATAGATGAGACCGAGACCTGTTGATGTCAGATTTGAACTGGACGAAATACCTACATTTAAGCGGCAAAATTGGAGATGCACAGGGACAATTTAAGAGCCTACCAACTATCGAACACAGTACATTTAACATTGTAAACGAGATGGAAGTGTCCTGACCACTGTTTACTTGGTTAATATGCGATTCTATCTACCATTCCTTGCAGGAAACTTCGACAACAACAGATTTACTGGACATTATCAAATGCAGTTACCACAAGCGAATCCAGAACACTCAAAATGTATTACAGTAACCGTTGCATTTTTTGATCAATCAAATATAATTTTACCTGTTTTCATGCTGATAACATGAGAAACATGTTTTTGATAAATAATCCCCTTGAGTCAACTTACTAACCAGTTAGTCTTCGTCTATGAGATCGTTATGCATAATGTACATTTTTAGTTAAGGTTAGACCTGGGGAAATCAAAAATCATGATGTCTTCAGGCTTAGAGGATACTATTACATTATCAGCTGCGAAAAACTCTATAACCAAGCTATTAAGCGAACCTGTTCAAATCTATCATAATTCGCACAGCGTAACTGAGCTACCTAGAATACTTTCTGAGTGTTTGTCAAACTACACCCAAAACTTTCAGTGGAGTGGTTAGGTGACGACAGTTAACACATCGGAATTCATGTTACCATGACGACGTAGAATTTTATTTCAAATAATTTGTTGCTTTTACAATGCAGCAAGCGAGAATATAAAAAAATATTTTAGTGAATAGTCGTGAATAGTCGGATATTGTTCTGAGCTAGATTTTAACAGATTAAAATTGACTGCACTCAACCATTCCTCCAATGAATTCGTGAAGTATAATCGAAATCACGCTAAAGCAATGAGAGTCTCAGCTATTTTTTTAATAGTGATTATTAGTTGATACTTGCTTGTAACAAGACCAGTTCTTAAATACCCTTTAACATTATAACCATAGACCCATAGTGTTAATTAATATAAATGCATCATGTTTTTGAGAAAACGACAATACCAAGAGTGTTTTCTAACATGGTTTGTATTCTTCAAGTGTATGAGTTGAGTGGTTTCACTGAGAACTTGTTCACAGCACTTCAACAGTGATAATAAAAGTTGGTCAACTTGTACGGTACCCGCAAAAATTACCAAGTTTCACATTTATGCAATCATTTTCCAATCAACCAGTGTAGTAATTTTTGAACAAAAAATGAAGGTTTATTGAAGAGGTATGTATTTTGCCATTAAAACAAGGCTCAGTTCTAGTATTGATATTCACGTTCACTAAAATTGCTGTTTTGAACTATCAGATCTATTTTAAAATTCAGTCATCAATTTTCTAATTCATGTTTCTTCACAACGAAAAGAGCCATGCAAGAGACTGACATTTTTAATGCCGAAATTCCTAACATTTGTTACCAATATTTCTCAGCCGTGAATAAGTAATTTTGCGTAAAATAGCACTCTTGATATTTGTAGCTTACTTACTATATGTATATATACATATACATATACATATACATATACATATATATATATATATATATATATATATATATATATATATATATATAATGATGCACATTCGTGCACATGTTAGCAAACAAATGTCTCAGTTTCGTTCATGACACTGTATTTTGCTGGCAGATTATTAATGTAACCGCTTTCAGCTATTGAAGTCCGACGGTGGCGCCTCTTCGTTATCTTAGAAAGAACACGTGATCTACATTTCAAACGAAACAATATTTTATACTCATACTTAAACAAAAGCATGCAGTGTTGCATGCAAGCCTTTCAACTTCCAAGCGTACAACCAGAAAATGCATATTTGTAACAATATACTCGGGATTTAAAAGAAAAGACTAATTAGTTCACACAAAAAGCTTAGAAAACATTTACTTTCCTCTTGAAGAGCCCAAAGAAGTAATAATTTTAAATCAAAACTCATGAATGTCTTACTTTATAAGGTTATACTTATCGCCTTTTGGTAAGTAATGCCAGCAGCTATATGCACTGTATAGTTTCCCTGGCTTTGTGTAAAGTCTTTAGAAGCCACTCATAAATTTATTAGCGGCATGAATCTGTCGGTTTAATGGGCAGAAGATTAAAAGAAGTCACTATATGAACATTCATCAGTCAGGTTCCTGAAGTTGACTGACATAATTTACTACAATCGTGCAAGTCAAAGCTCGAATTTCACTATAGGAAAAAGATAAATACTCCTGTTCACTTGTTTGCATTGGGGTATGTTGATGTTTCTGCAAGTTTAACCAACGTTGTGATCTGGTTATATCTCACTATGAACGCAAAACACTCCATGAGTAGGTATGTATATGTAAGGACAGTAGTTATTACTGGTTGCATTGAAAGATAGTTGAAATAACCTGCATACTTTTGACTCAGAGGGAAATCGCTTCTAGATTACTACTCTTACATAGTTTCCTAAATAAATATTTATGTTGCTCGGGTATTAGATCAGAATATTTATATGAAATATTCTCAAATGGCAGATTTAGACACGTTGACAAAAAAGATTCTGTATTAGGTTCCTACTGAGAATAGTGATTTCCAGTTATTGAGAGCAAACAATACAAATTTCAGTCTCATGGCTATACAGAAGTCCACATTAAGTTGGATAGGCATTTAATACCATCCACTAATCAATAATGCAAGTAAAACGGTCTAATCAGTAGCTAGCTGAATGAATTAGGGTCACGGAAAAATGATAGACAATGATGATGTGTTCTTTGAACTAGATTGTTTAGTCGTGTATATTTCATTGTCATTCTGGACAATATCATCAGCTCAAACTTCCGAAAGAATTCAGGTAAGTGATTTTCTCCATAAATGGTTCAGTAGCCTGTCCTGATGATCTTGTGTGCGATTGGTTGTCTCTCCCCCGGAATATTCTCATTGTCTCTGTACGTATTTTTACTGGTTGTCACCTTGGTGTGGACTTTGACCTTCGTTTTTGTTCCTGTGTTTCTTATTGTTTGATTGATTGTATCTGTGTCAGTGTGTCTGCTGATCACTGATTGACCTGAACACTAAGCATCTAAATATTCCCTGACATACTTTTTATTTCCTCTCTCCAGGATTTCCAAATTTTCACAATCAAATCCATGTCCACAGTTGTCCATGTGCATTAATATGAGCGAAGTCATAACCCTTCACTGCTAGATGTTAGTGTAGATGGATAGGAAGAGTGTAACCACTGTATCCAATATAGTGTTTTCGTAGTTCTTGCAGTTTCTTTTATGGATAATGTTTGGTTTGTCTTCCTTTAATGTTGCATCCCTTGATCTACATAAAAGACACTGGAAAGATTTTATGGGCTTGTGAGATATGGCGATTCCCAAATGCCTCAGTGATCTACTTGCGATCTCGAATACTTTCTTCATTTAAGGTGAGCTGATCCATTTGTTGGTTTTAAGGGGTGACCTTCAGGTTGACGTCAAGTTAGACAAACATCCTTTGATGAATTTGCTTGGATAGCCGTCCTACTGCGAAACAGTCATCAAATGGCTTTCTCTTTTTCTCCATAAGGCCGACGTACTACAGTTTGTCTTTGCTCTTTTGAACAATATTTTCACACAAATGATTTTTGTGCTGTTGGATTGTTGCTGCTATTCTTAAGGATTTGATCCGCATGATTTGGATTTTTGTATACTTCAGTTTCCGTTTTTTCCTAGTTCGTTCTAATGA